TGCCCCCAACACGAGTGCTAACCACCTTAGAAATGAAAGAAAAACAAAATTGTTTACACACACATGCACACTACCCTTAATGTGATAGTACAACATCTATTCTAGCGTCACTTGAAAGACTGTGAAGTGCTAAAGACCTAAACACAACATGGCAGGATGAAAAACATGATTTTATTATCCTCTTTTAGAAAAAAAGTTTCAAGTCTGCACCTTTGAGCAGACCCAGCAGTTTTGTTCGGGGTGTATAGACACACCTCAAGCTATTGTACCATGAGGATTTCAGCAGTCAGTAGCATTTTCATACATAATTGCGATGATTCTGAATATATGGGTCATGCTAACTTTGTACCCACTGTACCTCTGTTATAAGCACTGCTGGCTAATACTCAGCAGACAGGTCTCACTGTTATTCTAAAATCTAAATTCCTTAGGAACTGTCCAGGGTGTACCCCGCCTCTCGCCCAATGCCAGCTAGGATTGGCTCCAGCCAGTATTGGCTTACCCTCGTCAGAATAAGCGGTATAGATAAAGGATGGATGGATGGAAATTCCTTAAGAAATGGACACTTTCCTACTCACCTACTAATAAACTTCCAGCTATTGTCAAGGTTCTCATCATTTATTTTCTCTTTCTCGTGTACACTTTCAAATTTAAAATGGGATGAGCGCACCAGAGTGACCAGTAAAGGTGGGCACACTAGTCTTACATTGCTCTCTCTCATTGTCATTTTTTAAATAGTTTCTGTTTTGCCGTTTTCTTCCTCTGGAAATAAACCAGACCAGGATACCTGTGCCACATGGGATTTATCTGGGTCCTGGCTTATCAGCTGCTGCATTTGCAATTGTTACTATTAACTTCTAATTAATGCTGTGATTTCCTTTTCCCTGTTTGTGGATAAAGCTCTAGCCGTGCCCTCCTCAGCGAGCCAATAAATCACCATAGCAACAAGCCCAGACGGGCTACATAGAGCCCTGTGTCTGTGAACTAAACTGAAGGAAAGAACTTTCTCCAAGTAGATCTTTCCTGTTGTTTGTGTAGATGACACGATATAAGTGGATGTTCAGTTCAGATGCTGTTATGGAGTTAAAGTAAGTTCAGGAGATAGTTTGTTAAGTCTAATAATTAAGATAAATTGTTCATCTTTCATTCAGCTTTTGTAAAATTCCACCTACTGTTAGCTACTGACAGTTGTCTGATCGTCCATATTTATGCATTTATTATGATTAGAAATGATGATTACCCTCCTGTTTCTAACCACACGCTGTAGCAGACAGAGAGATGAGACGGCAACTGATACAAGTCTTCAGTAAAATTGGATAAATCCAAGTCCAGGCCATGCATCCTTAGAGAGCGCTCCTACACAAACTATCAAGAGAGAGCTACTTCCATAATAAATTGCTTCTCCCCTTTAATCTTTAAGCAGAGTTGAGCAGCCACCTACGAGCACACCCCCACAGGAAATCTGTGACAAGAGCACTTACAGTAAACATCTTCAGCTTTTTCATGTCAATTCTGTTCAGTTAACTGTGCCTCAGAGTTTTTCTTTAATCTGATGGTTTTTAAAAAGTCTTGTGTTAATGTTTTATATCCATTAGCGATAAAGGTTATTGGTATTATTCAACCTTCTTTAGACAACTGATAAATTGTGGAAGTTTAGATATTTGTGTTGTAAAGAGAGAGACAGGTAGGCATCACTTGTGTTAAAATGAGTTTCAGAAAGCAAATGTCAATACAGGAAATGCACCTTGAACTATCATTATTTAAAAGCTGTGGGAAATATTGTATCATGTAATGCAAATGGTGCAGGTTTTCATTAAAGGACTTTAATGATCAATTTAATGACCCATTTCTAAAGTGGAAGGTGTATTATCAGTAAAACTGCCTGGTAATTATCATTGTACTAAAAGCCTTGACGCCATCTGCTCTCTTCATTTCCTATCTCTTGCACGAATGACAACCAACCTGCAGTCCACAGCTGGCTCCCTCTACAATGGCCATGCAGAACGCTTCAGTCAGCGAAGTGTTGAGGAAGATGTGACCCTGAACCAGAACTCCACGAACATCCTTGTGTTCCAAAGCCCCCAGCAGACGCACCCTGCAGTTGCCCAATTAAAAGAAGCACATGTAATTCCACTTTCACACAACCCCAGTGTTTGACTGTGCGTACCAGACTGCTGACTGCTGACCTTTTTATGAAATGTTTTTTCAGAGGCCATGTCCTGAAACAGGTTTAAGTAGTGCCTCCATATCAAATATTCTGAGAAAATGAGTGTCCAGCAGTACCTGTCATGTAGCTGGTATTTCTCTCTCACTTCCTCCAGTACAAGTCTCTTTGGCCCCTCTCCGCCGATTAGGAAATGCAGATCTGGATGTTTGAGGCAAAGCTCTGGGATTATTCCTCCAAGAAGATCAATTCCTGAAAAAGAAGAACCAATTGACTGTGAACAATTGATTTCACAATTAATGTAATGCAATACTTATTATCCTTATAACAACATGACCATTACTGTTTTTTATGCTGTTTCCCATAAATATTATGGAGTGCTCAGAAAATCCAGCCAATGTTTATTTTTTAGATAAACATAAAATCAAACTGTTTTTTTGAAGAAAATCCCTTGGTTTTGCTTTTTAAAGTTATGGGCAGCACATGATATTTTCCAGTTGAAAAATAAAACTACATGTATGTACTCTCTTGTAAACAAACTCACAGCAACACAGTTTGTAACTATATTTTTGCCATTATGTACTGCAGTTTCATTGTTGCCTATGGGTGAACACATAAGATGAAACTGAAATGTCTGCATAGTATTTTGTCCCCTGATCCTTATGAGGAAACGTTTTTTGGACATCCAGATCAGAATGTAACACAAGCCCCTGTAAATAAACTGTTAATGGCTTGTGCCAAATTGAGGGCTTGTACTTTGGTCTTCTAAAAAAAAACATGACAGTGTCCTATTCACCATACCGCTCTGCAGCCTTGGGGTTAGTCTGAAGTGAATGACAAAAACCTCATAAAGTGTCTGACTGCCTGTACCTTTGCGGTAGACGAGGCGGCTGATAACAACAATAGTGATCTTGTCGTCTTGGCGCTGGGAGGGGTCAGGGGTGAAGTCTGTTGGGTCAACAGCGTTGGGAATAACAGACACTATCTCTGGGTTGAGTGCTGCACGGAGCACAGTGTTCTCCTTACTGGTGTATGACACACACACAATGTGGTTGGTATCACACATTGACACAGTCAGAAGCTTGTTGGTCAGTACAGAGCTGACGTCAGCAAAGCCGAAGAGTGAGTGGTCAGTGAACACCTGTGAATAAAAACACTTTTTAGGTTTATGTCACATGTAGCATTGAAACATGAATATATACTAAGGTTTAAAAAAAAATTATCGACCTGGTTCATAATGAGTCACATACCGTGTTAAGACCCATGGTCTTAGCATGGAAGAGTGCATCATGGGCCATGGCAGAGAACGAGCTGTGTCCATGCACCACAGTGATGCGTTCCCTGACAAACACACAGCGTAGCAGTGGGAGACTGTGGAAGCAGGTGGTGACTGTGGACTGGTTGTACATCACCTGCAGGGGGAGGTAGTAGACCTTCAGTCCATTGGTCAGGTACCTGACCCCCTTTCTCCTGCCATAGGCATGGGTGACAATAACCACCTTGTGTCCCTTTTCAATCAGACACTGGGACAGCTGGTAAATGTGACTTTCGACCCCTCCCATATTTGGATAGAAGAAGTCAGACACCATGCAGATGTTGTGTTTCCTGACAGCCTCTGCAGGAGCTCCAGAGACTCTCTGAGATGAAGAATCACTCACAGCTGCCGCTTTCCTTCGTTGGCCCATTGTAGATTGCTTGTGTGGCTGCGTGCATTTAGTAGTGCTGAAATGATGGGCTCACTTATCAGTTAGTGCATCAGCATAACTTAATCGACAACAGCAGTATTCAATAACAATATTAAATGATTCTCATACAATATTTGGTCTCATAATATAAACATCTGCCAGACCTAAGTACTCAGCTGTGATTTGATACTCTGCCAACTGGAATATTGCAGATTATTAAGAATCAGTGCCCAAAATTAAACTAGTATAATTGTCACCAAGTTCCTCCTAGCACTTTTAGTATGTCATGAACTTTTACTTTTCTTTTTATGTTGACCAACCCGAACACCTATAATGGTAAATCATGTTAAGTTTACAAGTGCTATCAAATCTCTCCATATTCCAATAAAACCACCTTTGTTACTGTCACGTCTTAACACTTGTCTCATTCGACTTCTGTATGTAGCAGCTTCTCCCTGCTGTTTAGAGAATTTTAATTTGCTGTCAGTTTATCTCTAAGGGCTCATCAACATAAGCCAAGTAATTACACCGATCTCAGAGTCCAACTGACATACAGTAGTGTATTACTTTTAGGCTAACCCACATTGATGTTTATGTATTCCTTGTCTGTTTCGTTACATTTAATCAGCATCAAACTAACCTACTTCATTCATATTAAATAAAAGAGTTTCTAGTTCAAAGTGCCTTACCGTGGACAAAATGTCAGCCTTGTTCCAGCTTCTTAAAATACAAAGAGCTAGATACGGATTCATTTCTACTCGCTAGCCTTGAGCTAACCAGTTAGCCACCCTTTCCCTACGTCATACGCAATGACGACGTACGATAGAGCGGTTGCTGCCATCTGCTGTATGACCAGGGAAAGACATTAGCTATATCTGAATAAAACTACCTAGGCGTGGGCACGTCTCACATACAAGCACCGATGTCTAAGTCCTCCTGTGGCTTTTGGAGATAATTTAAGTTATAGGATAGGAGGATAGCTTAAGGCTAACCACAAACAAAAAAGCACATTAAGAAACAGAGCACAAAACTGTGCGCCCCATACATGCAGCATCAGTGGGCTCCTCCACCTTTGAATACCACAAATAACCGAATTAAGTAAACAAACTGATCTGTAGTGGTTATTATAACTCATGATGCATTAAATGCATTATAAACATATAATGCATTTAAGAAGGTCTGCACAATTTTAAATATTCATATATTTAATTATAATAATTAATTCTGTAATTATAAACTAGGCCTAAGACAAAGGTGGAAACCCATTCACCTCTGGCCCATGCACATAGAAAGGTTCACAGTATTACAGCATGTCATAATAAAGGACTATTCAATAAGATTTCACTGGAATCATGATTATTTGCTGAATTAAGGTGAACATGTTTCAGGTCTTGTCAGTATAAACTGCTGTAAATGACTTGTAGTGTTTCTGACCTTGCATGGCATCCTTGATGCCAAGAGTGAGAAGTTGGTGATAATGAATCTGTAGCAGATTCACAGTAAGATAATGGTTATATTATTATTATTTTGTCAACCATAAAATATCAAACCATGAACCACCACTGTTTTCCATGTACACCCTTCAGAGGAAGGCCCATGACCCTTCAGATTAGAACCCTTTTGAGGGCCATGGTAACGTATTTCCACTATGCCCTGTAGTATGACACCTGTGCATATTACTGTAATATAATTTGCTTGTAGAGCAAACCACTGGTAGTTTATTTCAACTTAATATTTATTTATTTCATATGATGTTAAGTGATATTATTTAAACAGTACCAGTTATTTTTTACCCTGAATACTGCTTAAAGAGTAATGAAATGTCTTTAAGGAAAATAAATCACTCTTTGTCACTCTATTTTTTCTATCAAACTTTATTATTTTAATTTCTGGGCTGACAAACATGTCAGTGTACAGCGAAATACCTGAATGATTTCAGGCAGATCATGCAAGGAACCAAAATGAAAACATTTTTTGATGTGCTGTTAGTAAATGCTTCTGTATGAATTTGTTCTCTGCTTAACCATTAACCAGTCTCAACATGTAGGAAATTTAACCAACATGTTGGCGACTGTGGTTCAGTGGGTATGGCAGATGTCTCCCAACCGGGGGGTTAGTGGTTTGAATCACGGTGCCTGCAGTCCACATGTTGGTGTCCTTGGGCAAGACACTGAACGCCCAAGTTGCCCCCGATGGTTAGAGCCATCGGTGTGAGTTGGCGCTGCAAATGGCTGCCTTGGTTCTGTACTGGAAACAAATTCCTTGTGTGTGTAACATACTTGGCCAAATAAAGGTGATTATTATTATCCTTATAATAGATTTATAGTACCCTGTTGCCAAGAATACATTGTGCCAACAAAGCTTTTACAATGACTGCTGTTTTGCACAGATCAAAGTTAGTTACAGGCAGTAAGCACAAATAACAATAATGACAAAACCACATAAGGAATCAGTACCAACGCGAAAACAAGAGGCAATGGTGCAAAAAGATGAGAGCGTTTAAGTTTTCCTTCCTCATCTTTGCACACCATGTAAAAGTCAACACATTTATGTTGTTGCAAATTATTGCGGTATCCACACTGATCAACAACCACCATTCAGATGTACTTTCACACTGTGACATTATAGCTAGGAGTTTGTTTAGCACTGCAGGTTGTCAGTTTCCACTTCTCTTATCCTCAGTATACAAAACCAAATTCTATTGAGACAATGACAAATGTTAACAAACCGCAAAACTAGTCGTGACTTGATTCATCAATTGCAAATACATATTTTGCAACTCTGGTTTAGCCAGTGAGGATCAATCAATGACAAATGTTAACAAACAGCAAAACTAGTTGTGACTTGATTCATCAACTGCAAATACATATTTTTCAACTCTGGTTTAGCCAGTGAGGATCAATTATAGGGAGGAACATTATCTTGAATAAAGATCTCTGGCATTATAACAAATATGTACAGATTACTGTTTCCAGCGGCACCATAGGACCAGGGAAATTCCAAGCACCAACACAATGGGGATGACTTTTAAGTATTTCCTGAGACCGTGTGGTTCTTGATTGCTTTGCTGAGGTGCTGCAAAAACCAAAGGAAATTGCAAAAAATGTGACAGTATATAAAGTATTTGTTGTTCTCATTGATTTGAAAGCAACCTTTAAACAATAAAGTACTTTACTTTTTAAGGTGTTTTACAATATGTTGTTACTGTTGCTGCATTCACAGCTAACATCATAGCACTAATGCCATAATAGTAATGGACAATATCCAAGTTCCATTCTCTCTGAAACAAACAGAAACAAACAGAAACAAATAATTACCAGGCTCTGGGACACAGCTGGATCTCGCTGATATGTTTTTGGCCTTGACCTGACATGTGGGTTCTGAGGTCCAGTTGAGTTCAGTGACGAGTTTGCTGCTGAAACTGTAGAGACCAGGGCGAACATCCAGAGTGTATGTGTGGGTTATGTGAGTTGAGGATGAATTTGTAAGAACTTGTCCATCCAAGTACCACTGAATCTCAGCCTCTCTGTAACGTCCTTCTGCATTACACTGGAAAACATTTAAACTGCCATCCTGGCTGCTGGTAGAGTTCTTCTGACAAACATTATAGTTTGCTGGAGAAAGAAGAGTTAAAGCTGTGAAAGATTCTGAAGTAAATGAATCCATGATCATGCAGGTAGATGTAAGAAATAAATGAATGACTCACCAAAAACCTTTAGATGTATAAAGGTTCGGCTGTATTTTCCATTTTGAAACCAACATCTGTATTTCCCCTGGTCGTTCGCTGTGATGTTGGTTAGGAGGAGAGAGCAGTTACTTCCGTTCTCATGTAGAAATACTTTGGCCCTGCTTTTGTATAAGTCAGAGAATCCTGAATAGATCTTGAATAAGGACACAGGATCCTTGCTTTGCTCGTCTTTTTGCCACCCAAAGCTAAATTCTTTGGTTTCGTTTATGCAGAGGCAAGGAAGAAAGACACTGTCTTCTAAGAGGCCTTCGATCGTCACGTCATCATTACCTAGAATAGAAAAGGGATTAGTCCAGTTCTCAGACTGTCTTCAAAGTATTTGTTTTATCTGTACATACACTGTAAAACATTTCAGCTGGATCAATTTTAAAAGTTTGCCTTAGTTAAGTAAAGTCATAAGTGACTTCATTTCACTTAATTGGACATAAAGGTTTAACAATCTCCAACAATTAGGTCCAGACAACATGTTTTCAGTTGAACTTACAAATTTCAACAGTTACATTTCAATTTAATTATATTTTAAAATACCACAATAATTTGATATAAAGGTTTTACAAATGTCTCTTTTATTAGAGTGACTTAGAGCCACTTTCATACCAGAGTAAAGACTTCACATGAGGCTGCTTCCATTCTCTAGTGTACAGGGACTGAATTGGTTACCTTCACTATGCTTAGAATGGTTTTAATTATTAGCAGAAAAAGCTATAGTTTTACTTGACATGTATTAAAGACACAAAGCAAGTTCCTGTCATATATGCTTTCTTTAAACCACAAAGAAATCACACTCTCAAACATTATACACGCCAGGGCATCTAATAAAATGCCAATCGTGTTTCCGTGGAAGCTTAGAGTTAAGCTGATGAGCAGAATCTCAGCAGTACATTCAATAAACTCATCACTTCAACTCAGAAGACTTCACATCAGAAGAAATCATCTTCAGGCTTAAGTTTAAGTTAAAATTAAGCATGCACTCACGTAGCACTGGGCTGTTACCAACCACCCACACACACCAGTGTCTCTTTTAAATGTCTGGTTCTGTCTTTCACCTTTTGATACTTATGCATCCTTTGTTTTTGTTGTTGTTTAATACTTTGATTACTTTCAACAGTCTGAAAATGAACATTGGCTTTTAATCTTTCCCTCTGCCAAAGTCCCTAATATTAACATGTTTAAATCATATGAAGTCATGTTAAAAACAAATTCATTATTCACCCCACTTAAATTGCTGTGCATACTTTACTGACATGGCCCAGTTTAGTAGCACTCACCCTTTCTATTGTGCCGTCTTGTTTCAACACAACTGCATAGCCACTCCTAGTCAGAAACTACAAACACTACAGCTAAGAACAGATTGCTAAAGTAAACTTGACCTCTTACCCCCACAGGTTACAAGACCATCTTGTTATCTTAATACAGTGTTTATGTGAAACTTGGATTACTGTGGTTGATGCCTAAAGGTCTTTCACTCATTAGTCATAAACAAAGCAGCTGCTGGTTGTGTAAGCATAATGGCTACAAGAAAGCAATGTTCCTGAGAAAGTGTGGACTTAAGTGTTTCACTGTTTAACACCGGGACCGCCACAACATTAATATTTGTTGTTTGGTGTAAAATCATCCCTTTTCCTCAGTGTTCAGTGTTAACTGTGTTAAATTCTTATAGAAGTCTTACAAGAACTGAAATAAGCAGACTCAGAGTTTGTGTGTTTGCATTAGGGAAGATTGTGGGTGGTTTTGCCATGAAAAAGCTTTGCTCAAACACTGTGGTAGGTCAGCTTATTTGAAAATATAGCTTTGCAAGATACAGTACCTATTATATCCCACTGCAAGCTAAACTCTGGTTTGGTGAGCTAAACCTACTTAGAAAAAGTAGAAAAACTGTGTCGTAAAAAACACTAACAAACTGACAAAGTACATCTGATACAAAATTAGAACTAAATACATTTTTAAAAAAAAGTCACATGCCACTGAAAAATGCTACTCACTAAACTCGTCCTAAAAAAAATCCTATCTGGGCTTTTCACAGGGATGAAATTGTAAATGCAGAACTACTATAACATGTAGTTCACTACAGTACCTCCCAACACTGCTCAAATTTGGCAAGTCCTGACAACTAAACAAATGACCTGTTATTCAAAAATGTAGCAGAAACAGAAAATGAAACGTGTGATAACTTTAGTTACTAGTTACTTCGCAGAATCTAAATAAACCGAACAAAATACAAAATACTTGGTTGATACCTGGTGGGATATTCACAATTTACCCTTCAGTACTTCAAATTATGAGCATATAGGGTGTTAAAAATAGCGCTACCTTTATAAACTGCAGAATAAATATAATGTAGCTACACAATAGTTCCTCAGTAATTATAATCCAAAAATACCCTATAATATACATTAATGGGAAATGTTCTACTCTGAATAATAAATAGCTTACTTTAACCTTTGGTACTTTAAGTATGCCTACATTTTAATGCTTATAGGCTATTTTTCTACGTTTACTGTAGTTCAATACAACACCATCGATCAGGTGGTAAAGGTGGCCAGTGGGTGTAGTTTCAGAAAGACAGACTTACCTGACACAGTTAACAGCATTAACACCCCCAGAAATATCTTCATATTTGGAAAATGATAACAATTTCTAAAAAGATTAGACTACTTCATAAATCTGCTATGGTTTTGATTTCAATCCCGAGAATTGTCGGATAGGCCTATAGGCAGTAAAAATCCAGCGAACGGAGAACAAATCCATACACGTGTCTTCCGTCTGTCGCAAGGGAAGTGAAAGGAGAACATCCAAAGAGCAACAGCTCTTGGTCTTTAGTTTCCGCAAAACTGTAAATTAGTGTTTCCTTAACCAGTTCCTCCCCAACTGAGATTAGGATATAGGCAAGAGGCCTATTAACTATAGGAGTATTAACCAAATTAATATTTTGAGCACTGCAATGACCAAAAAACCTATAAATATTAGACAGTCAGCAATATAACGTAGGCTCAATGGGCTACAGGCTATAGCATTAGTATGTCTATTGCATCGTTTTCTGATTATAAGGATTGTTGTATTTACACTCTTATCAGACCAATGTGTGGAATGTTCTATCACATATTTTTTTTCCCATCCGGAGCTAAACAGGGAGGGATCAACGGGATTGGAACATTTTAGCCGCCGCTGTGTCGACACTCTAACCACCTGCTTTAACATATTTTTTCTGACGGAGAACTCGTGAACATAACGGAGGTGCTGGATACCGTGAGGACGGCATGGGGGAGCACACGGCGTTTCTGCTGTTACTGTTGGCGACCTTGACGCTTTCATCCGAGGTGAGCACCAATGGGGAAAATCGGGAGAGTGTCGGTGAACCGTTCCCCGGCTCCGCTTATCTGCGGCGGGCCTGTTAGCTAACGTCACACCGGGGATCCGGGGAATCAGACGGACTACAATTATCGGATCAAATCTGAATAACGACGTATTAAAATAACAAAACGTGAACGTTAATGACATTAGTGCAGAACGGGTCCCTGGTAATATGAATGAGTAACAATTAACAACGGTGCTGCTGCTGTCAAAGATTAACATCATTACCAGGTTTATCCAAGGTACACATCGTGTTTGGTCCAGAAAACATATTTCTCCTGACAGTCGCTAACATTTTGCTGTATGAGGCCATCGATATGCTAGGTTTGGTTTAAGTTGCAGTGTACACAGAGTACTTGCGTATAGGTTAATTAGCAAACCAAATAATATCAGCAATACTACCAGGGCCTACCGTTAGATGTCAGTGAGTGGCAGTTTGGACCTGCCATGTTGGATTTGTTTTTGTTTGGCTTGGTGTGATTTTTTTACATAGTTTTCAACACTCTGTTAGTCTGGAAGTTGGTCGCTTTTATTTTAATATTACTAGGCTAATTATATAGCTAAGTGAGCTAACTAGTACCGTGAACTGAATCTAGAGCGCCAACGTTAGCTAGCTATCTTTTTTTCCAGAACATTACACTTATTGGCGTAGCAGCAGTTATGTGCTGACTGTTTGCGCTAGGTAACGCACAGTAATGGCATATTCGTTTTATTAGTTTCCCTTGGTAAAAAAAAAAAAAGTGACAGTTTCAAACTACCCCCGAAATACACCAGTTAACGTCACAAATACAACACAATTAGTCAGGCTTTAATGTGAATGGCCTGTGCGTCTAAAACCGACGGAGTTTTCTAGCAATGCTAATGTCAGTGTTGTTTGGTGCTGTCGCGTCGACCTGGCCCACTTGGTCCAGCAGCGTTGCAGCTGCAGTGTGGCGATATTGCTGAGGAGAACGGGAGAAAAAAGGATGCAGCATTTTTAGTTTAACACAAGCAAGATGGCGCTTGCAGATTTCTGCTGCTGTTGTTACAGACCAGAGAGAAATTCACAGCTCTGGACCAGTGGAATTAGGATCAACAGGGCCTACGTTCTAACATGCAGATCATTAGATACACATTGCTGTTTTTTTTCATTGCCATGCTGTATTTAGGGATGCGAGCTGTTGAGGAGTGTTTCGACAGGGCAGGCTCAATATACTAACACGTACTGTAGCTAAACAGTGTGTTGCAGTGAAAAATGTCTACAGAAAAAAGTAAACGGCACAAGTATACCCTATCTGTGTGTCCTGTGATATTATAGCTGTACAATTTGGATGAGCCATAATAGTGTCTATTTTTTGGTGTTACTATACTATTGCTGCTATATTACTAGGCTATGGTGGCTGCTATAAATGCATCTTGTGACATGTAGTTGTGAAATGTTTGCTATTTGAAATTGCCTTTAAAAGTCTTGATTGTTTTATAGCCTACCCATTTATTCTAGTTAAATCCACCAATTGTGTTGCAGTGTCTTTAATCTCTGTCTTTGGCTGCAGGCTGAGTTGTCATAGAACACAGTCCCTGCAGCACCAGATGTGTTAACCTTTGTGCACTGTTCAAACTTGCTGCCACAGTCCTCTACAGTTACATGGGGGTGTTACACAGCTTTTTCTTTGATGTAGCACCAGATCAGATTGGTTATCGCAGTGTAATCCTAGAGTAGCACACCTCAGCAATCTCTTCAAGGAACGCCAAACCAGTTATCCAGTGATATATGAGCTGAACAATTTTGTACAGACTAATAGACAGACGTATGTAGTTTGAAGCAAGTGTTATAGCTACCACTCTGACCTGAGACATCATCACCTATTCTTTAGTCCACATTTTGTTTTATATTTTGTAGCCTGTAACACAATCACATACAGTAACTCTCCCTGTGTTCAACCATGTGCTGGTTCATGCATGTACTGCTTACTGCTGTAGCTTGTCGGTATCTGTTTTACTGTTTTGGTTCAAAGCAAATGAACAATATGGCTGGGTTACAGCGCTCAAATATTTACTAAAAACATGGGATTGCACATTTAAATCAATAAAATTATGCAATGGCCTGATAATGTGAGAAAAGAAAAGCTTAATCAGAGAGAAGAACATTGGGCTTTCCCACCCTGATTCACAAAAGGGTAATATTATGCAGATATTTGCAGGCAATCACGGCATCAAGTCAGAATTAGTCATGCAAAGATTAGCAACAGATAGCTTGGTTGTTATTGTGTTGTGAGCTTGCAGCATCTGTCTTTTCTGATGCCTGCCAGAGAAAAGGAAATCCCAAAAAGCAAAGCACCAAAAAAGCAAATCACAGCGCCCCCCCCCCCGAACTTGAAGGAAAGAAGAACAATAAGTGTTAACAGCTGTGTCCTTGGACAGCAGAAGGCCAAAACTGATAAAATAAGAGGTTATTTCCATCTCATATTTCCTCATAATTTGAGCTTGGTTCAGTATGTTTTTCTACTTTCTGATATCATTGGCTATATTGTCTTCACTACACTCTCCTTCCTACACTCTCATTTCACTTTCTGTATAAGAAATGAATACAACCTCATAAGAAAAGCTAACAAAGGGCACATGTTCTGCCCTGTGACTGTAATGCCTAACTGGCTTATTGGCTCAAAGGGATTAAACTGAATATCTTGCTTTACTTGGGCTTAAGCCAGAAGTAATTTAATTTATTTATTTATCTTAAAATCTTAAATACACAGTGATATTGTAGAGAATTAAGAGGCCTTTATACTTATGACTCACTCTTCCTGATATTCTGTAGAGAGATGGATGTAGGTGCAGGATTGTGTATGAAAGGAAGTAAATCAACTGAGAGGGACTATTTATAGTTGAGCTATACGTTAGCCAATTTGGTATAAACAATCTGTATTGTTGTCCTCTCGTTCACCTTGTCTGTCCAGGTGCCTGCTGATGACTCTGTGGGTTTGCTAACAGAGCCCCAGGTGGCCATGTTCTGTGGAAAGCTCAACATGCACATCAACGTGCAGAGTGGCAAATGGGAGTCTGACCCCTCTGGCACTAGGACCTGCATCAGCACCAAGGAGGGCATCCTGCAGTACTGCCAAGAGGTATGCAAACAAAATGAGATAGAATTAGAGAGAGAGACAGAGAAAGAAGAAAACAAGTAATGTAGTAAGAAAGAAGACTCATTTTTCTGCAGGTGTACCCGGAGCTGCAGATTACAAATGTTGTGGAAGCTAACCAGCCCGTCAACATCCAAAACTGGTGCAAGAAAGGCCGCAAGCAGTGTCGCAGTCACACACACATCGTTGTGCCATACCGCTGCTTGGGTAAGCAATTTTAACGATTACAGGTGTATGTTACTACCGGTAAGTGCGTTTGTGTGTATGGTTACATGTGAGAATGAATATACTACACAATCTACAATCTGTTTACATCAACAAAGACGCGTTCTTTTTGCAGTTGGGGAGTTTGTGAGTGATGCCCTGCTTGTTCCTGACAAGTGTAAGTTCCTACACCAGGAGCGAATGGATCAGTGTGAGAGCCACCTGCACTGGCACACTGTAGCCAAAGAGGTGAGAAGAAACAATAAGCAGCATTTTCATCTCATTGTATGAACCTCATATTGTATGTTATGCCTACTTCTACTTTTTCAGTCTAGTCCACTACAGGCTGCCATGAGATGATTCAGCACCCCTTAATTTTATCCTCCTCCGACTCATGTCATCTTTCTCTGCTGCTGTATTCTGATTTGTGTTTCTTTTATGTTCCCTCCTGATTGTTTATTAATGTGCAGTCAGTGTTTGGGGCCATGTTGGGTATCACAGAGGTTTAACAAGTAGATTCTCATAACCACCAAACTGACTGAACATTGTGTGGTTTCATTGTGGATGTTGTTATTACATGAGCCATTGAAGCAGTGAAAGAATTTGATTAATGCCTGTTATTAAAATCAGTCCTGTGGAGACCGCTCCATGAATCTCCATGACTACGGGATGCTGTTGCCATGTGGCATCGACCGTTTCCGAGGGGTGGAGTTTGTCTGCTGTCCAGCAGAGGCTGAAAGAGAGACAGACAGTACGGATCTAGAAGGGGAGGAGTCAGACGTCTGGTGGGGGGGAGCTGAGACTGAATACTCAGATAACAGGTATCATCAGTCACAGACATTTGTCACCAGACACACACACACTTGTTGATACAAAGACTAAACCAACCACTCTGTTCTCAGCATGTCGCGTCCAGCAGACACAGAGCCTGCCACCACTGAAGATGATGAAGATGAGGATGAACAGGCAGACGCCTTTGAAAGGGATGAGAACGGAGATGGAGAAGATGACAAGGGGGACGAAGAAGACGACGACGTGACCGATGAACATGATAGTGATGAGCGCAGTACTAACATTGCTATGACGACCACTACCACCACCACCACTGAATCAGTTGAAGAGGTCGTTCGAGGTAAAGAAAGTCAAAATACATCATTTGTTTACGTACATGTTCAGTCATTGGTTGGTTTTCATCCTGTGTTTGTTGATTACATAATAAGTGACACTTTAAACTTTTTCCATGAAATTTAGAATATCACATTTTGAATTCATTTTTATTTTGACATATAATTTGCCTGTGTGTACATATCTCAGCTGTGTGTTGGGCTCGTGCTGAGACGGGCCCATGTCGTGCCATTCTGGAGCGTTGGTACTTTGTGCCTGAGAAGGGCCGCTGTGCTCCCTTCTTGTTTGGGGGCTGTGGGGGCAACAGGAATAACTTTGAATCAGAGGAGTACTGCCTAGCTGTCTGCAGCAGTTCGAGTAAGTGCCATGACCTGAGCCGTCCAAACCCTGAGGTGTCAACATCACGGGCCTGATTCCTGTCCTCAGGCTGTGCCAGATTGTCTCTGTGTCTCATTCACTCTGTCTGTGTCCCTGTCCTGAGTGTCATATGGCTCTTAACCACTCAGAGCACTGACGAGTGGATTCAGTTGCTCATCCCCTAGTCTTGTGTTGAGCATTACAGGATTATTTTCTCAGCAAGATAAGAAATGCATATTTGATTTAAAAGAAAATGTAGAGGAGAAAAAAGATGAGGTCCATGATTGACAAGCATATTTTTGTGTACATTTCACAGAAAGCAAAAAAGGTAATTTTGATTTTGTGGTAAAGATGAGGATAAATTTTATAAGAGTTTCTATGTTCAACAAATCACATGAGAAGATGATGATCTGCTTTCTTGCCAGGAGGTAGGTAAGAAGAATGATACCACTCTTGTATCTGGTCAGCATAGCTAAGCTAACTAGCTGCCTCCAAAGCTTCATATTTAGCAGACAGACATAAGAAAGAGTGGTATCAATCTTCTTGCCTAAGTTTAGAGAAGAACATGAATAAATATGGTCTCAACGTTTTGAATAATTAAAAAAATGTACTAAATTATTTACTAAAACAGCTGACCAATGAAAACTTACATTAGAGCATCTGTTGGTGGCTATTTTCAGTCATGTGTTAATACATATTTGGCTCTCTATTAAGTATTTGCAACAAACAGGAATATGTGGGACTGGCTTATAAAATAAACTACAGTGCCCATGTGCATCATAATGCAGGACAGTGTCATTCAGTGCAACATTGTGGCTCATTGTTGGGATTTTGTTTTTGGATACCGTAATAAGCTATATCAGGGTTTGGCTGTGTACGCAGTACTTGGTAGTCAGATCAATTCATTGTTCCCCAATCAAGATCAGCCATTTTACATAAATATGCTCTTTAGTTTGTCTGATGATGTTTAAACACTGTAGTGAAAGGCAAATGAAGAGGAAAAAAAAGGCAAGCGGATGAAGCAAGTGACCCTGATGGAAAACGGCCATGACGCTCTGTCCTTCACTTTCACATAAAGCAGTCATTCATTTCCATATTATTTAATTACTTTTCATCATTTCCTAACCAGTACCACTAACTGAGACTTCTTTACAGCATGTGGGCGAGGCAGCGTAAATATCGAACCTTAAATGTCGTTGTGCATCTGCATGCATTTCAGCATGTGTGTTTGCATGCTCTGCACTGTAGTATGCAGTTGTAAGGTCTTGTGTCTGCTGCTGCAGCTTTGTAGTAGTCTGACTTAGCAGTCAGGAGGCCCATAAAGGTGTCGTCAACATGTCTTAAGTAGCCGAGCCATAGTGTGTGTGTATGTGTGGGTGTTGTTAAAGGTTAACGGGCTGATTTGCTGTTTCCACCCAGTGAAGCGCTACACTCCTCAGCGCTGCAGCGTCTGCCCTCATCCTGACTCAGCTCTTTTCGCCTCCAGGCTCCCACATTAAACAAAGACACAGATGGACATACAAACATGCTTATACTGACAAATTGTCACTTTTTGTCCTCTGGTAACCTGTCTCTTTTATTTCATAATTGATGTACAAATTAAAACAGCTTTCTGTGTGTACCTAACCTTTTTAATGTTAATAACAGACTTGTTTAAACTTGTTGCGGTTCTTACTGTTTCTAAATTTCTGTGGTAACGGTTTCTTTAACTGAAATGCTGTGTAATCTTGCCTCAGTAGAACACATTGTATGTTTCAGACTCACCAGGATCAGTGCTTTTCCTGCATTCGCCTTTTATGCAGCCTCTTTACTTGTTTCTTTCTTTTTGTCTCTCTGCCTCTTATCATATTGTTTTCTTCCCTGCCCTGTATTTGATTCCTCTGTCTTTGTTCTTGTCCAGTACCCACCATAGCCCCCAGCCCTCCGGACGCAGTGGATCGGTACCTTGAATCTCCTGGGGACGACAACGAACACAGTGACTTCCAGAAGGCCAAAGAAAGTCTGGAGGCCAAACACAGTGAAAAGATGTCCCAGGTAAGTGCGGGTTGACAGTTACATCCTAAGCATTTTTGCCTGGCCTGGCACCTTGCCCTGTCTGATTTGATGTTAAAAGCCTGAATTTGTCAGGATGAAAGGGTTGCTATTGTTCCTGACTATGGCTTTGTATGTCTAGGTGATGAGGGAGTGGGAAGAGGCTGAGAGAAAGGCCAAGAACCTTCCTCGTGCTGACAAGAAAGCTGTCATCCAGGTAGGATGAACTTCTGCTGTAATTGTGTGTTTCATACCATCATATGTTGTAAATGTTGAAGGTGTTTTTTAATCAAAATAATTGAGTTCCGTAATTTTGGCCCAAATTATCTAGTCTTTATCAATTAAGTTCGTGCAAAGTGCAGTAAACAGAGGAATCTACATCAAGTCAGTATTTGCTGTGTGCCCACCTTTTGCATTTAAAACGGCGCCAGCTACATTTGCTCATAGTTTTCAAGGTGGCAGTCATGTTGTTCCAAGCCTCTTGGAGAACTTGCCACCATTTACTCAGTGTATTCTGTGTCTTCACATTATCAGGGCTTTGTGAGGGCTGCACCATCTGTTGCAGGACTGCTTGTTCTTATTGCTGACGAAGATAGTTCTTTGTGACTCCTGATTTTTGTCTGGGCTCGTCTCTCTGCAGAAAAAATTTGAGAACTAATTTTGAGCCTAAAACATTTGCACAGTTCTGTATTAAAAATGATTATTTTCCTTGTGTTAGTATCTCTAGCATAGTAAATACTCCTGTATTTGCAGCACTTCCAGGACAAGGTGGAGGCCCTGGAGCAGGAGGCAGCAGGGGAGAGGCAGCAGCTGGTGGAAACCCATATGGCTCGAGTGGAAGCTCTGCTCAACAGCCGCCGGCGCTTGGCTCTGGAAAATTACCTCAGTGCCCTACAGGCCAAACCACCACGGGTAGAGACACAAATACACTTATGCACAAACACATCTCTGCCCTTTTTAGTAAAGAGAGTAAGGAGCTGTTACAAGTCATGGGTGTGTGCACAGGAAGTTTTTAATGGTACGGTTTAGAGACATGTAACAACAATTTTGTAATGAAGTCAACTATGCTGTTATTGTAATTGGTAAGAATAAAGTATTTTAAATAAAAAAAAACCAGCATAGCATACACATTTGTATAATGCACCTCTAACAGTGAAATCTGAATAACCTCAATAACATACAACACTGCACTAGCCTCGTCAGGTGCTGAGTCTGCTGAAGAAGTACGTGTGTGCAGAGCAGAAGGACAGGCAGCACACGCTGAAACATTACGAGCACGTCCACACAGTCGATCCCAAGAAGGCTGCACAAATCCGACCTCAGGTACTCGCACGCAAATCCAAACTTCTAATGCAGTGAAAACATTTTAAATGCTTGTATTGGTAAATTCTTGGTTTAGCCTAAATTATGTAGGCTTAGATTTGGTCTGAATGGTTCTAGTAGCTACTCGCATACACATCTATCTTTATCCTTTTTGTTTCCTCCTGCAACTTAAGTAACTCCCTTCTGACCTTCAGGTTTTGACCCATCTTCGTGTGATTGATGAGAGGATGAATCAGTCACTGGGTCTGCTCTACAAAGTGCCCAGTGTGGCCGATGAGATCCAAAACCAAGTTGGTAAGTTGGTGTTGGCTTCATATTTTTATTCTTAGTGTATGAATGACTGGCTTTTACATATATGCACAGTGAGTCAGGGTATGTGGATCTTTGTATCTAAATACTGTTGAATATTACAGTGTCTTAAAAATGTTGAGGCTTCTACCCAAATGTTGCAGTGTCATATGATTAAAAGGCAGTAAAGGTTGTGATACTATGAAATTTAATCTTCACATTAAAATGTAATACTTTAAAAAAAGTCATTATCTGTTTATTGTAATAAATAAAAAAAATAAAAACTTGATCATAATGAAGAATTATGGGATGATATACAGGTAAAATAATTTCTGGAAAAAATTTGCCAGGTTTTAGGCAGGTACTGTTCAATGTGGTAGTGCGATATTTTGGAGGCTTATACTATACTTGCTGCGAGTTAAGATGAGAAGTTCAAGACCACTCTCATATCTATATGGCAAAAAAAAAACAAACTAAAATAAACATTTTAAACTTCCTAGCAGCTCCTGTTTGTTTAACTTGTACAAAAACTGAAGTTGTGGTTTTACAGAGGGTTAGTGCCAGACTGTTTCTGGGCTGTGAGCAGTAACTGCTAGTTAACGGGCACATCGCTGTGCTAGGCTGTGCTATCCTTCTCATGGCTGTGCTTTCATGTTTAACGAACATGTAAGAGACTTGTCTATCTTTTTATCTCACTCTCAGCAAAAAAGCAAATAAACACCATTGCCAAAATGCCAAACTGTTCATTTAAGTGGACACCAGTTTGCTGTCAGTGACATTAAATGTGATTTCAGCTTTTAAATGTGCCAGCCACAGTGTTGGCATAATCTAGTACAGATGTCTCAGATCAATCTCTACAGCTGCTCAGTATTAAGAGTATAATTAAACCACCCTAAATGAGGTGTGGGAGTAAATAGACCACACTAATTAAACAGCCTCACAACATCCTGTGGTGCTGACTGAGGAAGAAAGCAGGTCTTACAGCGTGTCTGATGAATAGCCTGCTGATTACGCAGCATCTCTACTAGTAGTTTGTCTTCAGTAATTAGTATAGCATATGGACATCACCTGACATCCTCCCCTCTCCTGCTACTCACACTGTCTGTCTCTCTCTCACTTTCTCCTTTTACCTCCTAGCGGTTATATTACAGAGGGTTCAGTCGGAGCTGTCTCAGCAAGTCTCTTCCCTGCAGAGTGACGGGCGGGTGAGTGCATCCGCTCCCATATGCACGAAGTCTGTCCCGTATAAACTGCACTTTCTGTCACATATATAAATAGAATAGCCTCTGCTCTTCAGAATAATGCAAGACAAGGTCACCATGGCCACACACAGAGAAGCTAAAAGGAGATGCGGTAGAGCGAAAGTGGATTAGATGCAGAAAGAAATACATGCAGGCCAAACATCCAAATAACTTTTTCAGACCAATAGTGTTGACTGTTATCAGGTATAGTGAATAAATAGAAGTAGAGGAACAGAGTCATCTGGCAAAATATTGTCTCTGAGGAGGATTTTAATGATGTACACTGAGATTACAGTTGTCCAGATGATTCAGTTTCAGCTTCTCTGCTGCTCCTGTGTGTTTGCAGGTGGATGGCAGGGTGAGTTATGGTAATGACGCTCTGATGCCTGATCAGACCTTCAGCTCTGCTCCTATGGACCCTGGCCTGGATGGACTTGGCTTCATCCACCCTGAGAGCTTCAACCAGGCCAACACAGAGAACCACGGTAACACACACACACACCATAGATTAGACTATACAGAGAGCTTTGGTATTTTATAAACTGAGACATTCACCATATAAATGACTCTTATTAGAAAACTGATACAGCGATTAATACCTAGTGAGTCTTAAAGTGTAGAGTTGTAATGAGTTTAATTTGAAAAAGTCAGTCCTTGATAAGATAATATAATTTGACTATGCAATTTCTATTTGGTCTCCTTTTCTTTCTCTTTCTAATTTTGGTTCCAGTCGAGCCTGTTGATGCTCGTCCAATTCCAGATAGAGGGTTGCCCACACGGCCTGGTGAGTGTGTGTGATTGTGTGTATTTCTTAGAGTCCAGTATGGCTGTGAGGGCGTCCTTCACACAGCACTGAATAATTTCTAATTTTGATCATGTCTGCATATTTATTTAAGAAAATTCTCAGCCAGGTATAACAAGTTAAACATCTCCCACAGTCTGTCATAGCATGAGATCTTAAAGCTGCTCTTGTGGAGTGTTCTTGTAAACAAGTTGTTGTTGTTTTATATTCTGTACTTCTTTCTAAAATACATTTTTGTGTTTCCTTACTGTCCTTTCCATTACATTCTTATCAAAGGCAGTTTTATCACAATATTGATTTTGTCCATATAACTCACTGTTAATTTTAATTGCACATAATACAAATACTTAACAAATATAGCTCTGTATGTGTATGTTTTTATAACATATATGCTTCTTTCCTTTCAGTATCTGCTCTGAAACCAGAGGAGATGCCAAAAGTGCGGATGGAGACCGAAGAGAAGCAAAATGCTGGTTATGAAGTTTACCATCAAAAACTGGTATGAAAACACAGCACACTTCATGTGATTTCATTTGCTCCTGCAGCGGCCATGTGCTCTGTGCACAGAGCGGCTGTGGCTCAGGAGGTAGAGCGGGTCGTTTCCTAACCGGAGGATTAGCGGTTCGATTCCTGGCTTGTCCAGTCAACATGTTGAGGTGTCCTTGAGCAAGACACTGAACCCCCAGTTGCTCCCGGTGATGTCACCGGTGTGTGAATGCGTGAGTGCTTGGGAGTGCGAATGGGTGAATGGCCGAATAATGTGAAAGCGCTTTAAGTGTGCTGTAAAAGCGTAGAAAGGCGCTATACAAGTATAAGACCATTTAAACAATTTTTTAATGGCAGGTGTTTTTTGCTGAGGATGTGGGGTCCAATAAAGGTGCCATCATTGGACTTATGGTTGGAGGAGTTGTCATAGCAACTGTGATTGTCATTACCCTCGTGATGCTGAGGAAGAAACAGTACACTTCTATTCATCACGGTGTAATCGAGGTAGGGAAAAAAGGGCTGGGTGAATGTGTGATTTTGTGTGAAATGTACTGTGTCTGTATTAAATACTGTATGTTTTTTTTGTTTTTACTGACCTGCCCTATCTGTTTTGGTAGGTGGATGCAGCAGTGACCCCAGAGGAGCGTCACCTGGCCAAGATGCAGCAGAATGGCTATGAGAATCCCACCTACAAATTCTTCGAGCAGATGCATAACTAAAGACCTGCTCGCCAACATTTTCTTCAGGTGTATCCCATCACGCACTCCCACTCAGAGGCTCTGTTCCATTCTGCTCCCTTGCCCTCAGCCCCTACACTTTCAGTTTCTCACCCTGTTAAGGGAGGAGGATAGGTGTGCAGATTAATGCAAAGGCAGATTTTTATCTTGCTTGAAAGTTGGGAAAAGATAAGTGAAAACTTTGTAACAATGCATGTCTCAGTGAGGGGCTTGGACCAAAGGAAACTGACATGGAACAAAGCCTCCTTAACCCCTGATCCCTTGATTGTACAGAGCCACACTAGAGCTTACATTTACCTTCCAATTGGTTAGACAAGGGTACCCCATTTCACTTGGACAGTTCAGCCAGTCACAACAAAAACATCATAGGGTTTGTACTGAAAAACCAACACCCTGTTGACAACTGTCATGAAGTTACTGCACTACCGCGCTCGCAGCTGAGACCACTTTGACGAGACCTTGTTCTGTTTTCCTCAAACTGTCCCACACAGCCCTGCCCTCAGATGACAGCTGTGCTGTGTTTGATTATATGACAGCTCTTAGAGCTGGTGATGTGAGAAGGGGCTCTTAAAGCGCTACCCTGCACAATTAAAGCCCGAGTGTTTCAGGTTCATTTTTCAAAAAAGAATTAAAAAAAATGCTGAAAAACATACATAATCAGACGTGTAAAAGTTGAAAAATATTGTATGTTTTGTTCTGATTTTTTATGTGTAATATATTAAGACAGAGATTAGCTGTAAGTATATGTAGTGCATGGCAGTATTGATGACAGATACAGTATACTGTGTGTTGAGGTCCTGGGGAGTGGTCCTCTTACTAGATTATTTTAGCGGGATTGTACATTTCTAGTGTCTTCTTTGTGATCTCGTGATATGAAGAAGAAAGAGTACTCAGAATCTGGTCTGCTTTGTTGTCACACAGACTTGCTTTAACTGAATCTTGGCTCTTCATGCTCATCTCCATGCTTCACTGTTGTGTGAGCTGCATGGACAAGATGCTCTATATGTAATATATGAAGTGTAATAGTATCTGAAAGGAAGATGATTGTGTTACTGTTTGCGTTCTATGCACTCTGTCATTTTGGAAGTTTATTACCCTGATATTATCGCTGTTAAGTCCCTGAAGCCAATTCACACTGTTGCTGCACAATGGGTTTTTTCGTAGATTGAAGATGAAGGGAGGTTTTGTCATTCCAGATGTATCATTCCACTCTCTCATTTTACTGTAAATATATGGAAGGAGATCAGACTGTCAGTGGCCCAGCTTCATTACCAACCATCACCTCTCTGTCGTTTATGTTTCAGTCTCTTTCCTAACCCCTATTTCTCATGTTTATCCTCTCTTTCTAGTTGTGTCAGCAGTATTTTACAATGCAGTGCTCGTGTCAGCCCGTGTGTGTATTTGATAAACAGGTCTTGTTGGGCCTACAAAGATCAAAGCAGTTTTCTAGATTGTCCAGTCTCATCTCCACACCCATATTTTTCTACATGTTCTCTGTATACATGTACAGTGCTTCTGTTTGTCTTTACTTGCATATCTGTTGTCAAGTCTCTGAATAGGCCTTGCAAAGAGGTGAAGAAGTGCAACACTAGGAGGACGACTGCATGGAGACACATTTTCTTCTCCCTTAAGTTATTAAAGCCACCTGTAAACATGAATGTGACATGCATATTGTGCATTTATGCCACAGAAATACAACACACCCACTTCTACACATTGTTACCCACATGTACAGAAATGCTGACTGATGCTCTTAATCAGGGGAATGTCAAATCTGTTTTGATGCTCTCTGAGCGTCTTTGAAGGCTAGTGATAAAAAAAAAAATGCTTTTTTCCCTCTCACTGATTCAGTGACCTTCCTTTGCGTCTAATGAACCATTTGCTTAACGAAATGCTTTCTACACTCACTATACCATGAATAAAATTTTGAATGTACATAAAATGTCCTTGCTTGTCATTTTGAGCCTTACTAAAACAAAAAGAAAAACCTTAACAATTAAATGAACCCCAGAAGTTAAGAAAAATGCTTCACACTTTATTCCCTTTAGTGGACAAAAAAAGAGGGTCCTAAACTTTAGGGAATAAACACTAAATCAAATACAAAACAGATCCTCTATAAATGGAAAATATGAAAATACACTTGCCCTTGTGGCTATCAAAAACATGAAGTACAGGTATATACAGTGGAAACTCCTAATCTACAGACAGGGAACACATGCAAAGCTGGGTGTTCATTCACACATTCAAGCATTCAGTCACATGCACAACAGCATTTCTCAGACACATTCACCCTCTTTTCCTGAACACGCTTCTCTTGGTCAGAGAAAAGCTAAAAACATTTTACCTGCCTCTGTTTAACATGAATCAAGCTGCAACGACAATAGCAAAGTTGTTAATCCACACTGATCAGAGATCTGCCTTGCATTTCTGTGCCTAAGGAACACAGATGTGTCAAAAAATGATTTGATTTCCAGTCAGTGGTGGAGAGCTAACTTTGTGGCAACTGGAGAGCACTGTAGCGTGACCTCCCTTCAACTGTCCTTATCTAGTGTGGTGGTGGCCAAGGTCACTGTAGTAATGGGCTGAGCAATGCCGTGCATCTGCATGCGAGCCAGTTTCTTCTGCTCGCACTCGGTCACCAGGTTGTTGAGCTCAGCAGCGCTGTAGCCAATCAGAGTCCTCAGGTCACACACAAATTTATAGACAAAGCGTTTGCCCTGGACCTTGCTGATCATGTCCCCATCATAGTAATACCTGGATGAGAATAACAAACATCAAAATTTCACTACACAAAGCCTAAATAAATATCATACAATTCAACAGAATATATTGTCAAATAAAACATGTCAGTATATTTTCACAACTTTTGTTTGTTTACAAGAAAACCCCACAGTGAACCTTTTAGTTTGAAGTTCAACAGGCATACTCAATTTAAGATCAAACCACAAATCAAATCAAGGTTTGTTATGGCCTGAATGAACAACTCCACAACCAACAATTTTGTGGCAAGCATATAAAATGTCACAGAAAAGATCAACATGTTATACTACGCATATTTGCTACTTCATGTTTTTCCAAGAGTTTTACTTACTTTCATGTTCTAGATAAATACAATAAAGAGGAGCCACCTCACTAAAACGTACTCTTTGAACTTTTATCATATCAGGTATAGACTGAAAAGGCAGACGGGTGCGAGTGCTGCTAGGTGTTACCACAAGACGCTTTTTACAAGTCTGCTAGTGCTGCAGTTTGACACTGCAAACACTCTGACTTTCTGTATACTGGGATGGCAACGTTACCTTTACAAATAGTGGAAAATGTTTGTTGTTTCCTTATTTTATTCGCCACAGGTTGCCCTGCTCTGCTCTTTATTCAGCTTTAGAAATCCCAAGCAGCATCTCATTACAGCTGTTGTATGACCTCTCTTTGCCACAACCTCCTAATCTTGTGCAAATATTGCTCATTTTTATGTTTCCAACATATGGGATGTCTTCACTGGTTTTGTCCGACAATAGAACTACGTAACGATGTTGCTGCAGCCCAGCAGGGTGTTTGTGCAGACGAGAGTCAATCCAATTATGGTTACTATGAGAATGTTTTGTGCTAAATATCAAGACTGTTTTGTCTGACACCAATGCTCTGATACAAGCTGCAAACTCAAAGAGGCATTTTCCTTGAACCACTGCTTCGAAGCTTGCTTTGTGCAAAAAAGGCATGTGACCGATGAAGTCTGCAGCAGAAGCTGCTTCGGTCCTGAGTTAATGAAGTGACTGGTTCAAACAGTCGATACCGCTTCGTAACGCGAGACCTTGCTGCACGGTTCAGCGGTTTCGTAGGCATGTAAAAGCACTATATACACATGACAGATCCCCCCTTGGAAAGATATGTAGATCCTCTGACCTACTGGAATGAGCACAAAAATGTTTACCCACATTTGTTTTCGCTAGCAAAGCAATACCTATGTACACCAGCCTCATCAGTGCCATGTGAACGTGTGTTTTCGAAAGCTGGAGAAGTTGTCAGCAAGAAAAGATACCGGCTCAGTCCAAAAATAGTGGAAAAAAATATTGTTTCTCAATAAAAATCTTTGAATCTCCATCCCATGTACATAATCACACCCTGCCCTAGTTACATAAGCACACCCTACCATCCTAGCACATCCTGTTTCCCCAAGCAGACCTTCTCCCAACTACTACACTACATACGTTTATAGAATCACCCGACCGATCAATCAATCTTTGATGTAAATACATTTTTGTATTCACCCAAAGCCTCGTTACACCCATCACATAATTAAGTCATTGTTTTGCTGTCTCATATTTTGCCACTAGATGTCACTGAAACGAACCTTTGAATAAATGAATGTCCGATGCAAGTGATGAAGTGGTTCAATACTGGTTCATTGCTTTATTTGGACATCACTACACTTTGGACTGTCCCTGAGACCTCAGATTTTTAATAGAAAACCTGCATTACACACTGGAGTTTGAAAGATCTGACTGTTTACCAAGCAGGAAGGTTTAAAAGAAAGGCCGTACTGCTACACTACTTACTACATTATGGGAAGTGTGGGATTCATTGTTTTTTTGGAGTTTGACCCCTACTAGTGACAGAAAGTCAAGGTATCTAAGTCAGGGGTCTCTGCTGCTGATTTTGGCCAGATGCTTTTTTTAACCCATCTTTTGCAAGTTCCCCACCTTCATGAAACTGCAATGCTAAGCCACTAGAGTAGCCCTTTAAAAACAACAGAATAAACAAACCTGAGGGCTCTGCTGAGTTTCTCGTAGTTCATAGTAGGTTTGTTTTTGCGTTGGCCCCATTTCTGTGCCACCAGTTCAGGCTGGTTGAGTTTGAACTCTCCCTCCTCGCCCACCCAGGAAATGCAGTCTCTTGCATCCTTGTCCGTCAGCAGCTCCAGGAGAAACTGCCACAGCTGGATCTGACCGTTATTACCTGGCATCACAGAAACACGAATGCTACAGAATCACAAAAACTATACTGAAACAAAATAATACATGTACTTGCTTTTGGAAACACTGCACTACAACAACAGGAATGTGAAATACAGCATTTGTGGAGAGCCAGATGT